GCGAGGAGGCCGGGGGCAGAGCAGCTCTGCCTCCAACTTCCCAGAGTCAGCTGCTGGTCAGTTTCAGCAGCGGCTGAATCGGGGAAACTGGGGGCAGAGCAGCTCCAATGGTCCGGCTGCCCGGAGCACTTTCAGGTTCCTGATGGTGCCGGACCATCAGATGCCGGACCATTGGAGTTTTACTGTACATGGTTAATATTGTCTTTTAAAATCTGATTTGGCTGTTTTTATCCCTGCTTTGTTCTCTCTGACACTTCCATTTTTTGGGGGGGACCTTTCATGTTAATTATTGCCTCTGCCCCTTTCTACATAGTCATCCACAGAATGGGTTGATTGGGTTACAAAATAGCACTAGCACAAAGTACCATGAAATTGCTTTTCTTACAATATTTTGCTGTTGTGCTGTTACTTTTATCAACTGTATCTGGGTAACTGGGGCAGTTTTATTATCACTATACTCATATGATTTGTTTAGTAAAATATCTAAGGACAAGCTAATTGCAAATACTACTAAGTATGCAGTGTACTTTGATAGCAATCTATATTAAATTTGTCAGACTAACAGATCTGGTGTTGGATGCCTCAGGAGCTAAGAAGTTAAGCCTTTCATCTCCTGCCCACTGGTTGATGTGTAACCCACATTTTTAATGATAAAAGTAATTAGTGATGGCAATTTGACCTGTGTGAAATGAGCAGGTGTTCTCAATCTATTTCCTAGTGGACAGGTGTCCACATGATGAATAAATAGCTGTGCCTTATTAGCACCCTTATCAGTAATGTTAGGAGAGAAGCTGATGATTCCCTATGCATGGATTGGAGACTGAACTGCTTTCACCTTGCCATGTCTGAACACAGTTGTCAACACTCACAGTACCTGAATGAGAGCTAAACACAGTTGGCTACGTCTAGACTGGCATGATTTTCCACAAATGCCTTTAACAGAAAAGTTTTTCTGTTAAAAGCATTTGCGGAAAAGAGCGTCTAGATTGGCACGGACGCTTTTGGGCAAAAGCACTTTTTGCGGAAAAGTGTCCGTGCCAATCTAGACGCCGTTTTGCGCAAGAAAGCCCCGATTGCCATTTTCTCCATCTGGGCTTTTTTGTGCAAAACGGTTCTCAGTTGTCTACATTGGCCCTCTTGCACAAAAGCATTTGCGCAAGAGGGATTTTTCCCAAACGGGAGAGTCATTGTATTTGCGCAAGAACACTGACTATCATGCATTAGATCGTCAGTGTTCTTGCGCAAATTCAAGTGGCCAGTGTAGCCAGCTGGCAAGTTTTTCCGCAAAAGCAGCTGCTTTTGTGGAA